TTTCAACAAGCTGCAATGAATCTATGAAGATTGTGGAGCGTATTTTTCATTCCATCCATGAAAAGTAGGCAGATATAAATTTTTGTAAAATTCAGTATAATCTTGTCATTAAATAATTATAAAAGTTTAACTAGACAAATACAATCACGTACATTTTCAATGAGTTATTAATTAGGAAAATCCTTCTTTGAACATTATCTAGCAGGTAAAACTGTAGCGGTCTTCAGGTATGCGTTTCAATATTTTCTCCAACTTTAAGAGAAAACAAAAAATTCCATTCCTGTAGCAACCAGATCAAGATTCGATAACAGACTAGGAAGTAGGGTTGCCCAAAAAGGGATTTTATAGCACAATTAGGAATTTTGAATTTTTGAGGGGGGCACATTTCGACAGGGTTATGAATTTTCAAACTGAAAATTTTTAAATCAGAGAATTTGGGAGAAAACATAGAACAGATCAGAGCAAGTGTAATTGTATATGGTCTAAGATTTTTCTAAAACTGCTTTCGTTTGCTATGTTTTTATAAAGAAGAGTGTAACAAAATTTCTGGAGAGGTAGGTTATCGCGCCATCGACCTTGGGAAAGGGGAGATATTACCTCAGGTAGGAAGATTGGTTTAACCGTTGTGATAGACTCATTATTGTATAAAAGTAAGTAAATGAATAAATTTGCTAGAGTCATAAATTATTTGTGGACCACTGTGTGTGATTAAACGATTTATCAATTTAAAGTAGTTTTAATACGTTATCATACTTAAACGAATATTGAGAAGACGTGAAGAAATATCATCACCTAGGATCAATATTATTCTCAGTATAGGATAATATTCTAAGGGGTACAGACCCAGTTTTTTCAAACTATTACCACTCCTCTAAAACCTCGTTGATGGCTTCATTTTACCTACAAATTATTTATCTACGAAAACTCTCAGAAATGGAGAGTTTTCTTATAAAATAAATTAATTTTACGAGGTAGAAAAACTAATGAATACCCATTTGCCTTCAGCTTAAATCGTGAGATAATTTGATCACAAAGTCGAGAAAAAGGATGGCCTACAAACATATTGGGCGATTTGGCCTATACGACCTCGTTATTTGAATATTTTATAGTGGAGTTAACGGTAAACGGCCTAATATTTTTGTAACCTTTTTTCTCGATTTTGTGATCAACTTATCTTACGATTCAAGTGGAAAGGAAATTATTCATGAGTTTTTAGAACTCATTAATTTGAGAATATTTAATAATATAAATAAAAAAGTTGTTGGTTACGAAAAAATGAAGCCAGTCACATTTAGAGGAGTGTTGATAATTTAATAAAAAAATGGTACCGCAGATTAATATATTTCCAAGCCATCTGAGAGAGGACAAACAGTTTAGCTATTATTCTCTTGTTACAAAAGATTGTATTATTTTGAAATATTGACCCATGATCCGTAGTACAGACACGTTTTTATCAAACTATTAACATCCGCCTAATAGCTTCATCTCATCGTAAACTACAATTATTTTATATACGAAAACTCTTGGAATAGGGGAGCTTACTATCTGGAGATCGGCAGTCTATTTAATTAGGTACTAAAAACTCGTAAATGCCCATTTGCTTTCCACTTGGGTCATAAGGTAATTTGATCACAAAATCGAGAAAAAATGTGGCCTTCAAAAATATTAGGCCGTTTGCTCTATATAACCTCGTTATTTTGACATTTTGGGAGTATAGAGCGAGCCAAATGGCTCAATATTTTTTAGGACTACTTTTTTTCTCGATTTTGTGCTCAAATCATCTTACGATTAAAGTCTAACACAAATGGATATTTAAGAGTTTTTAGTACTTAATTATTTCTTTATTGCGTATTAATACAGTCTGCCACACTGAAGGGTATTGATTGGTACCAGAGCTATAGTAAATACTTAATTAAATAGACAAAGTTTGCCCATCTCCAGATTGAAAACGCCCCAATTCCGAGAACTGTCGTAGATATAATAGTTGTAGATTACAATGAGATGAAGCTATTCACGAAGTTTGAGGCGGATGTTAATAATTTGATAACAAGGGAAGGGTTCTGTACCATGGACTGCGATAACTTGCTTTTAGATGTCTTACTTCTTTTGTGTTTTTCATTACTCTACTTGAAAGCCAACTATTCTCCTAGAAGTATCTATATTCTCAAGAAGCCTAAATATCAAATACTTTTCTGATATTTGACGCAAATATTTCTACTTACTATTGGTTCTTCTTTTTAGAAGAGATGGATGCTCTATAGCAGCTGAAACTGCAAAAACAACCTCCCTTTTGGCGTCAGAAGTGCCTTCAAGGTTGACATGACGCATGGAATGGATCCTATTGTGAACAATAGTCCTACATAACACTTATTATAATTATATACTTAACATATTAGTTTTATGTCTTTCATATTATTATTTTATGTCCTAGAGAGCGACAATCGTTGCTGATTAGAATACTGGCTATAAATTCTTTGATAACTATTTTTAACCCAGTTTCCACACCTGATGTAGACGATCTTATGGATATTTATACAGCTGTTAGCCATCCTATTCTCCCCCTCCCCCTCCCCTTGCTAATATAACAGATGAAAGAAGTCCATGCCTTCCTTCAGTGTTGTTCAATGTCAGGAGGTTTTCTATTTTTCTCTTGCCTCTTCCTTGTCTAGTTCGTAGTACTGCACAGGTAGCCTCTATCTTTATTTCTCGTATCTTCGTTGCTTTATCATCAAAGCTAATGTTTCTTGTGATTGTAGGTCGTGGATTTCCGTGATCATTTTCGAATCGCAACTCAAGTCGTGACAGAAATGGTGAAAGGTGATTACAGCGAAGATATCGTGGTAATTGCTTTTATTTTAAACTTGATCCTTTGGCTGAAAACTGTCATGGAGGAGATAGAAGCGCTTTCTTTTGTTTTTCATTCTTCCACTTAACAGCGATAAAAGCTCCTTGACTAGCGTTCTCCGTGGACATCGTCAAAGTTTTCATATGTTTGTATTCATATTTTGTTTTTAAATCTCCGCATATCTCTTTTTTTTTACATTATCAGGAGTGTTTTATAAATCAGTAAGATTTACAATTTTAATTCATTGTATTCATGCGCCTTAACTAACAGGTAAATATTCATTGGCATACTTGCTGGCATAAACCTATCGAACTTCTTGTCTTGTTCAATATTGGATATTTCATTCATAGCTGTTTATTAATCATAATTTGTATATTTCCATTAAATTTGTTTAAACGTAATTTAATTGTAGAAATTGTCTGGTATTTCATTCCGGGATTTCCCAAAAAAACCAAGGACGACTTATAATTATACATCCGTTTATCGGACCCCATATTACCAAAAGTTATAAATCTTACCTAAGGCTAAAAACAACTACATCATTTCAATGGCGTTATCCATTATTATCTAAATATATTGAATCTAGCAACACTGACTTCACTTAAATGTAGAAAACTAATACTATAGCCGCTAACATTTCTAGCTGTCTCTCTGTATTTTGAAAGACTATATTTCAATCCATAGGTAGATTTAGACATAGTCTTTAGTATAGGATAATTATATATATATCTTGATTAAACTTGCTATAAATGTTTTGCACCTAAGCCTAACGAAAACGGTCAACGATCCCTGTATAAAATAAATTAATAAATTTTTAAAATATTGTTCAGGGTGAAATAGAATTCCAATACGCACATACTAGTTTTTAATTTTGTTATAGAGAACACACATTAAAAAATGCACTATATAATAAAACATGAATAGCGGGAAAAAAATATTAAACTGTGAGAAAACATTTACATAGTCAATTAGTACATATTATTGCTAATAAAAAATTGATAAACACAATATAAACATATAGATGAGTAATTTATTATTTATTGACTAAGTTAAAGTTTTCCTTTTAAGTATAAACAAGAAAACCAATTAGAAATTGTACAATTAGTAACGTCATTGTCCTGTTTATTCGGGTCATGCGGCATCCATTCGTGTTTTCTTTGAAGAGCATTTTATATATTTCAAAATATAAAATAATTATTTATTTCATTATGAAACAAATCTTGTTTTCTTAAGGATAAAAATATTGAAGATGAAGTATACAATTTTCAGATTTAGACGGATGTTAATAATTTGATGGAATGGGCTCTGTATCGCAGACTACTACTACAACAGCCGTATAAAATCGACTGTTGCCGAAAACCGCGACCGAGTTCCACAATTTTAATTGATATAAAAAATGTTGTATAAAAGTGGCAGAATTCTAATATTTGAAGTGGAATGAATTGCCGTCATAACTTCATCTTATACTGCCTCACCGTTGCGTTTACTTTCAAAGTTATATGAGGTTGAAAATGGATCAGTGTAAATATGTATCATCAAATAAGGAAATTAATATACATTGTCTCTTCTCTTCATAATAATATTTACAATTACTCGGTACAATTTGCATTTGACCTCAGATGTGAAAGAGAAAGAGCCCTTGATGATGTTGCATTGAGATCAAGGACTGCACTGGAAGTCCAATTTAGAATGGTATCTATTTTGAGTTGAAGTCTCCTGTGATTGGTTTTCTTAAAATAAAAATTTTATTCGATTAAAATCTAATTAGAAAAGGAATGGATTCTCTTCCATTGTTTTTGTAAGTGTTTTGACTCAACACAACCCCGTATCTGTAAATTTTGTAGTCTGTAATTCGATTACACCCTACAAAGGGCAGTCCTAAATTGTGAAACAGGCCTTATCGATTACAATAGCACTTAAGGTAGTCACTGCTCCTCGATGGTACTCACTGCTCCTCGGTAGATTGATGTTCCCGTCACTAACTGGGTTAATTACGAAGACAAAGGAGACGTTGGCTTGAAGAGATGGGTTCTATTCTGCTCTTTAGACCTAACGATTCGGGGGCATCATATTCCCGTTACTATTAGCAGTAATAAAGTATTAAAAGTGTGATATATTTTCGGAACATTTCATTAATTTTCCAAACATTTTTCAGGGAGCTCCAGAGGCTTCATGGCAAAACCCTGACATCTGCAAAGAAAGAGGAATGGAGGAACCTGTGATCAAAAGGGTGCCGCCGGCACAGAAGAGCCACTTGGAGAAGATGAGAGGTGAGACTAGTATTTAAATTATTATTTTTATTTTATTTCACTGAAGATTAATGAATAAATACTAGGTAGATACAAAATTTCTAAGCTTCACAATTCTGTACTGAAAGTCATAATTGTTCATCCATCTTTTTATTCTCTATTAAATTTGTTGGTTTTCTTGATTATTATTACTACTATATTGCGAGAGCGGCGCACCTGATGGATATGCCGTTTCTTCTAAAGTCTTCTTTTACGTTATCTTAAACTTTGTGTATAAGTTAATAAGTAGACCCTTTCATCGAATAAATTCGAAAAAATTAAATAAGTCGAAACGCAGTGGCGTAATCATGATATGGAGATCATTTTAAAAATCTACGGCTTCGGAAACGTAAGAATACCTACCCTCTTATATCGAAGAAATCCGAAAAAAAGTTAAATAAGTCTAAACGCAGCAGCGTAATCTTATTTATTACTTATTTAATGAGGTTATTATCAAAAACTACGCATAAGATAACTGACCCATACGTCACAAAAATAAACTTAATTAAATAAATGAAAAAAAGTTTAATTTGAAATGGAAAAGTTCCAAATTGACTTGGGAAAGCTATATTTATCGAACAATGAACATATGACAAAATAATATAGAAATAAGTTAATGCAATATGTTTGAGATGAAGGAATTAATTTTATTTTTCTCGATCGAATTACAATAGTTCTTTCGTAATGAACCATGTATAAGTTACTATAGGCTTTATCTTTGCTAATAATGGCCAAATTTCTACGATTTTGTTTTTTGGTTTTTAAACAAAAAAATACATATTCTTGAAGTTATGCACAAATAAAGTTTCATATTATTCTCAACTTTTTTTCATTAAATTTTGGGAGAATATGACTATTTTTCCCACCCATTTCAATCATTGGATTTGATAATGAATTTACGAAGATATGGTCGACATCATTTTAAAGTAACGAATGTGAGCCTGTTTAACGTTGCACATTTGTTACTTTAACATAATGCTAGTGATATGGTCTACCGATAAAAAAAAAAAAAAATGAGAAATAATAAATAGTTGATTATTACCGGACTAAGGGAAGCGAAACTAGAGTTATGTGTTTGGGTCATCCGCTAAAAACTATGTAACGCTTTTTTGAGCGAACCGCTGGATCGATTTTTAAGTTTAATGCCTCAAATATTCGCTGAGTTTTCTGACTGTTTTGAAATAATTTAAACTAGAAATAATGATGCGTTGTTATCTAGTAAAATTTACAGATAAATAGTACATTGGTTACTATTACACACCCCACGCATTAATTATTTTGTAGGAAATGCTTTAACGTTTCTTATTAAAATTAAATTAAATGAAGAACAAAATTAATTTCATATGATTTGCTAACAACAGTAAAAAATAATATATTGAAGAATAGGTGTTTTTAACTATATTCCTGCCAAGTGTCTCTAAGCTACTCGAAATACTATTACAGTTAAACAATAACAGGATGCCGAATGTCACAGTTACCCAAGCCATCATTAGGTTCTTGACAGTAGCTACTTATATTAGCTGTTGTTTTTAAACAGTTTTACACTTACACTTATAGATTTTAACTTTTCTATTAGTTTACTGTGACCATAATCCGTGATTTGTCCTAATTCACTAATATTATTTATAAATGAACTGGGTTATTATTTTTTCAATAGTATTGTTTATTTTTTTTTAATTGAATTTTAAATGTATGCTAATAAGTTGGGTGATTGTCAGTATATTTATCGACAGTTGATAAAAATAAGGTCGAAAATCACAATAAACCGGAAGGCAGAACTGAACTTGTTATAGACAATGAGTTGCCAAAAGAATGTGTTCTAATAGGGACAACTGCAAAAAATAAAGAAATATATTGCGTAATCAGTTTGAGGCATTCAAATTGGGATGACCTTGGATGAAAAGGCATTTTATATATGCCTTGAAACAATCATTCAGATCAAAAATAACGTTTATTGTAAGTCAATCGTTACACTTCATACCAAACGGCGTATTATAATTATTTAAACAAGATCAATTTGCTCAGAATGAGTCAGAGTGAATAAAATATATAGTGTATCAATTATTTTTTCTTTTGCTCACATTTTGTTCAAAATCGTTCGTCGTACTCGTATTCATGCTTACTTCACATATTCTTTGGTAAATAGTAATGTTTTGTACTGTGCTCGTTAGATATGTAAGTTTGACAATCGAGAAAATAATTATGAGAGGTTCAGCTATACGAAATCTAACATTTTAGAACAAATTGAAAAACAGAGTAGTCAATTGATATTGCTGTAGCCTTATAAGTAACTCGAATATTCCAACTTGTCAGAGGAGCGTTTTTTAAGCCTGATAATCGCCATCCATAAATCAGTCATTCGAGCAGGAGTATGCATTTGTTTTATATAACTACCTCTTCTCACTGCTTTTAGTTCCTTAATACACTGATAGGAAAAAAATTCCACCCACTTGATTTTTTCATGTTTTCATCTAAAAATATTTCTGCTTTGGATTGGTCTATTGTTTTTAATGAATAAATAGGTAATATTTTTGTTTGTTTTCAATTAGGAATTGAAAAATATTAAAAAAGAGGACAATAACCCTTAATCCTTAATTCAATGAAATGATTCTAGATTCCAATGTTTAATTTCTATGGAATCAAAATGTTTATTCAGTATCATTAGTTCAGTGCCGTTTCTTGCAGCACATTTCTTAGTCTCCGGCTTTTAATTTTTTCAATATTAAGTTTAAAAATGTCTCTCAGTGCTGAGGATGTTGCGCGTGGTGTGGCACTTATTTGTGATGGATGTTCCATTAAATATGCAGCTAATGCCATCGGAGTTCCATATGAAACTTTACGAGACCCCGTCAGGCGTTTTCGGGAAACTAGTTCTTACAATAGAAGGCCCGGTTCTGGACGGCATAGGGTAACAGAACCACGGGATGACCGGTTTTTGACTTCGAGAATTTTACGAAACCGGCACCTTACCGTTGTTCAAGCGATTCTTTAGCTCGAAGAAGTTGGAGGTGTGCAAATTTCTGAACGTACCGCTCGGGGAATATTAAATGAGCATGGATTAATGGCTTTTCGTTCAGTAAGAGGACCAGAGTTGACCAAAACTCACCAGAGTAACACGGCTTTTGCTCAAGAACACAGCCATTGGACTATGGACGAATGGAGTGCTGTACTTTTTACAGATGGGTCAAGATTCGCTCTTCGATCTCCAGACGGGCGTGAAAGGGTGTGGAGAAGAAGAAACGAGAGATATGCAGCCTGTAATTTTTCCCAGAGCCAACCTTTCCAACGTGGTTCCTTAATGGCTAAGAAGTGGGTGGAATTTTTTGCCTGTCAGTGTATATACAAGACGTTAGTGTCAATTAAATGTTCAAGTGGATAAAGGAGATAAATAACGCTAATAATATAAATAAAGGAGAATTCCTTTCTTTGCAACTACTATCTGCAATCTCTCACCTACCATATGCTTATAAATGTTTCCCCTTATTTTTTTTAATAGAATGATTACATATGCTGAAAGAGAAATAGAAAAATATCAGTGTGGCTTTATCATATCAAATAGTCATCCTTCGGATAATTGTAGAATAGGAATGCAGAACGCCTACACACCACTCGCAGTTTTATTTATTTTACAAACCTATGAATCCTACAATCGATGAGGAATATATAGAATTATGACTGAAATGAGTTCTCCTCCAATTATAGATTGCCTCACGAGGATGACAGTGGAACATAAGTTCCTTCGTAAGGATATTTGGAGGGACGTACGACGAAGTTTCAACAAATATAGGAGTACTGAGGGATGGCTCCGCATTTTCGGCCTTTAAAAAATATTAAAATAATGCTCCTTTCTACAATTTATATTTTTAAAACGTTATCAATATAAAATGTTATTTCTTATTATGAATCACTATTTAAAAAGATGTGGTGTGTCCACTTACATGACTTTTCTACTGATTTTAGACAAATTTATACAACTTTAGGTTCATCTGTTAAATTAAAAACTACTGAATTAGAATCATTTTCCTGAAAATTATTTAGAGAAATGATTAGAGTATACGGTTTCTTCGATAGTTAACGTATCGTAGGCAGGGAAGACTTTATAAGTAATACTTTTATTCAAAATGTCTGTTACAAATGGCATTTTACATACAGAATAATACTATAAATATATGGATTGACTACAAGAGTTCAGTCTCCTACAAGAGTGATTTGTTCTGAGCAACATAGGGGTAATATACCCAGGAATAGTAGGGGGTGAAGGATTTCTGGGAAGTCTAAGAAAGCGTGGGAAAGGAGTTATTAACTATGTCAAATTGATATCCTTATCCTTTAATACTGATATGAAGCCTGTGAGAACCTTTTGCTGAAGTCTGTTATTGTTCCTTAGGTCTTGATAATGCGTATTATTGTGTCCAGTCGGTACATTCTAGATAACTGTTTCTAAGCTATCTAGGGACATTTTTGTCCTTTTATCCTTTGAGCTATGGATATTGTTAATACAATACACGATTCACCAATTGGCATATTTAGCAAACTCAATTATTAAAATAAAGGTTAAATTAATATTATTATTTGTTACGGATTAAGTCCATTCCGTAACTGATGAACTAACGTAATGTAAACGGACAGGTGAATCATAATTAAAATAATATGTACCGTAACATTTCCAAAGCCATAGGCGCTGACTTTCGATTTTCGTTGGTGAGAGGGCGATAGGCAAAAAATAAAATAAATAATAAATGGCAGGTATTTTCACTATGTGTAAAAATTCCACATAATTATGGTGAAACGAACAAACTGTTTCAGGTGATTTTAATTAAGAATGTTCAAGTTGAAACATAAAAAAAGAAATACCAATAAGAATTGGTTTAAATAGAAACGGTTTGGTTTAAATTTTAAAGAAGCGATGTCACAAAAAATTGTTTTGTTTTTTCAACTTTTTAAAATGATTTATGTCCGTCTTTGATATTAAGCTACTCTAT